AGACAGAGTCCCGCTCTGTCGCCCAGGCTGGAGTACAGTGGCACGATCTCCGCTCACTGCAAGCTCTGCCTCCCGGGTTCATGCCATTCTCCTACCTCAGCCTCCCTAGAAGCTGGGACTACAGGTGCCCGCCAGCACGCCTGGCTAATTTTTTTGTATTTTTAGTAGAGACAGGGTTTCACCGTGTTAGCCAGGATGGTCTCCATCTCCTGACCTTGTAATCCGCCTGCCTCGGCCTCCCAAAGTGCTGGGATTACAGGCATGAGCCACCACGCCCAGCCTGGGTAAAATATTCTTTAGTACTCAGAAAGTTATCTTGGACAGAAGATAAATTTGTTTTAAGTAAGGGGAAGTTCTCTTATTTTACATTGGCATTTGTAAAACAAGTAAAGTATAGACCCCTTTTAAAGGAAATATTTCTCATAGATATCCAATGTTGACCTAAATTCTTTTTTATTATATTACTTAAATATGATCAAAACTAAAACAAGATATGGAGTCCTTATACGGGTAGATCTAATACAATGATAAAACCAAGAAAAATCTATAAATTCGATAAAAACAAAATGAAAAAACTAATAAAATTCAGATTAATAACATGAATTTAATATGATGGATGATGATGTTTTGTATTTAACAGAATAAAGAACAAAATTCTTATTTGGTTCTATGTTTAAGAGTTCTGATTCAATTCTCAGACTGCTTGGGTTCAAATCTGAACTCTGTCTCTAAGTGGGCAAGTTATTTAACCTCTCTTAGACTCAGTTTCCTAATTGGAAAATGAGATAATAATAGAACTCATCTCAAAGAGCCCTAGTAAAGATTAACATTGGTAACATCTATCAGTTACTTAACACAGTGCTTAGTACATAATAGGGGCTCAATAAACATTTGGTATTATTAATAATATTGTTTTATTTATTTAAAACTAATAAAAATAATTCATATTTTCCATAAGTATACTTTATAGGGGATTAGTAATTTCGTTGCTTTGTTTTTTAGTTCATGATGATTAACCGTTACATTTAACCAAATTCTGTTATGAGCAATTCTTTTTTTTTTTTTTTTTTAAGATGGAGTCTTGCTCTTGTCGCCCAGGCTGGAGTGCAATGGCACAATCTCAGCTCACTGCAACCTCCACCTCCCAGGTTCAAGCGATTCTCCTGCCTCAGGTTCCAGAGTAGCTGGGATTACAGGCGCCCGCCACCACGCCCAGCTAATTTTTTTGTATTTTTTAGTAGAGACGGGGTTTCACTATGTTGGCCAGGCTGGTCTCGAACTCCTGACTTCAGGTGATCCGCACGCCTCAGCCTCCCAAAGTGCTGGGACTATAGGCGTAAGCCACCACGCCTGGCCTATGTTATGAGCAATTCTTGATAGCAAGTGTTGATGAGGTATCACTTAGTAACAGCACAAGGCGGCCTTATCATTTGAAGATAAGCTTATGTTGAGTCAGTATTGCACTGTGCCTTAAATGAGTAGTTAATACAATGATTGCCAGAGTTAATAGAAGAATAACTTTTCACAACATCTTTACTCCTGTACTTATGGCAAGCTGATATGAATGAAGATGGAACAGAAAACTCGACTGCTCACAAGGTTTGATGATCACTGAATTCTCCTCTGTGCTCGCAATATCTCAGTTCTTCAAGTGCTTTAAAAAACATGTGAACTATTCCTGCAAGAGACGATTTGGTCAAGCATGACTAAGAGAGTAGACTGTTTTCATTCAGTGAAAATGTCTTGTGTGTTTGTGTGTGCATGTACACAGCCACATGCTTTGTCCAGGTTCCTCTGGCCCCTTCTGGTCTGTTCTGGTTTGTGTGGGGGCATTCTTTTCCTCTATATGGGTTTTTATTCTTTGTCTTTGAGCAGGGGTCCTCAGTCTCGGGGCCACAGACCGGTACCAGTCCATGGCCTGTTAGGACCCAGACTGCACAGCAGGAGGTGAGCGGCGGGCAAGCAAGCATTACCGCCTGAACTCTGCCTTCTGTCAGATCAGTGGCCCCATTAGATTCTCATGGGAGCATGAACCCTATTGGGAACTGCGCATGTGAAGGATCTAGGTTGTGAGCTCCTTATGAGAACCTAATGCCTGATGATCTGAGGTGGAACAGTTTCATACCTTCTGACCCCACAACCCACCATGTGGAAAAACAGCCTTCCATAAAACTGGTCACTGGTGCCAAAAAGGTTGGGGACCACTGTCTTAGAGAATATACTTGCTCAGCCTTCAAGCTTCAAATCACAGCTTTCCTAACTTTTTTGTTGTTTTGAGAAAAAGTCTTGCCTTGTCACCCAGCCTGTCTTTCCTGATTTTAATTGTAAGAGTCTGGCTCCCTCCAAAAAGCTCTGCAGAAATGTCTGCCACTCATTCTGTACCCCCTGCAAAGACTCCTTCCTCTCTTTCTGGCCAGCCTCCCCCTCCATCTGTGTCTTGCCCCAGGATAAGGATGGGAGGGTGTCCGGTTGCTCTCCATTTGGCTGAAAGAGTAACTTCCTGAAAACAGAGTACTCCACTGGGCAGAAATATGGCAGCTTGATACTTAACATTTAATGACAGAAAGAAGTCTTCTGCCTGGTGATGGAAGCGCAGGATCATTACCTGTTAACCCCTTTATGCCCAGCATCCTGTAGGGTACAGACTGCCCAACGTAACTGTTTTATACATTTACATTTTAAGGTTTTTTGTTTTTTTTTAAGGGGAAACAAAGTTGTGTCATAAATATATGCAAGCTCAATCTTTGAATACCTCAACTTTCAGGAAAAATGCTCTTCACATGTGGCAAGCCTTCACAAAAGAATTATGCAGAAATGGATAACTAATTGTAAATTTTAAGTAACTTCCCATTCCTTTTCTATTCTCATTGGTCCATTTGACTAGTCCTAACAACGACAAAAAGTCACTTCCAGGACATTTGATTCCTGGAGTTCTATCTGCAGGATGCCATTGATTAATTCCAACATTCTAAATCTTTTTTTTTTTACTGATTCCTGTTTTGGATTCTATATTTGTCTTTTTGTGTTAATATGTATGTGAGAACCAAAATTCCAGGGATAGCGGATTTTAATGAAGAATAACAGAGCATTTATGTAGTGTGTTTACACAACAGGATTGAAAATTTTTCTCTAAATTTATTTCTTTCCATGCTTTCACATACACAAATGGAGAAGAGAAGAAGGGCAATTTTGGATCCAGGTAATACCTTCAGGAACTCTTAGGGTGCAGCAGTTCTCAGTTTGAGAAGCCAGGATGGGCATCTGACCATGGACACACTGTGCCTGCGTTTTTCACCTGCTTTTCCATTTATAAGTAAATCTTTCACATTCTTGTCCTTGGGCTCATTAAAAGAAGAAAAACATGAAGTCTTTCAGTGGTTTGCTCTTTCTTGGCCCAGGAAAGTGAAATTGAAGGCGAAAAATCACCCTGGGCAGAATGGAAATGCCAAACTTTCCAAGTCAACTTTTCCTGGGTTAAAATCAAACAGGGCCATGAAGGATCAAGTCTTCTTTTTTTTGGCTCCACAAATTACAGAGGGAGCAACAACAATGTCATTTAATACACGGGAAAGGGTTCCGTGCCTGCAGGGGAGTTTATTAGGTTTGGATTTAAAGAAGAGAATGAAGCAAAATACAAAAACCCAGGCCTGGACTTCCAGTGTAGCTATGAGTGACTTCTTTCCCCACTAGTGCCATAGCCTTTATCAACATGTGGCTGTGACGATGACCATCGCTGCTACTACCTGGGCACCTCTTGAATACCAGGTTCTTGACATGTAGAACTTCTATGTCTCCCAATAACGTAGCAAAAAAAAGGTGATCTTATTCCTCTTTTGTAGATGAGTGTGACAGAGGCTCAGGGAGGTTCATAGCTTATCCAAATCACATAGCCAGTAAATAGGAAAATTGGGCTTTGAACTTAAATCTGCTTGACTCCAAAACGTACTCTTTCCTATCTACCCTTCTTCCTTTGCTTATTGCAGAAGTTCTCCACCCTCCTTAAAGTTAGAAAGAAAGACTAAGTCCAGAGGGAACCGGGAAAATGCCGTCATCATCCCTGTTGATTCTAGTGAGGGCTGAAGTGCTGGGGGGGCCGTCGCAAGCCTTTCCGCTTCCAAGGGTGGGGAGATGCATCTTCCATGGCGTGAGAGGGCTGGGTGAGGAATCAGGGTGTCGGAAAGAGTGGTTCCAGGGGGAGGTTGATTGCATTTCAGTGAATACTGGGAGCAGGAGAAAATGAATGTGCTTTCTTCTCATGGCTTTCTCCACTCATCTGCATGTGATCGCTGGAATTAAATTATCTTACACATTTTATTATACATTCCATGAGTCATATCTTAAAATTATATTGAAGATTATACCTGGAGATTGCATGATATATTTAAGAGGCAAGAAGAGCCTCTTAAACTACGGCTCATTTGCAGTGAGATCATGGGGCATGATGGTGCATTCACAGAGGCGCATAGGCTGAAAGTCAGAAGATGGGTGGTCTTGTCCCTGCTCTACAACTCAGCTACTCAGCCACTAAACTGCTTAGGGCCAGCCGGGAGCACTCATGATCATATAAAAAGAATAGCTGCTGTCTTCAATATCGAGCATTTACCATATTATAGGCATTAGATTAGTTGTTTTATATACAATGCATCATTTAATTTTCATGACCACTTTTCCAACTTACTCTTGAAAGGACAAGATTTATGTATAATTTTTTTTTTCTTTTTAAGACAGAGTCTCTCTCTATCACCCAGGCTGGAGTGTAGTGGTGCCGTCTCGGCTCACTGCAACCTCTGTCTCCCGGGTTCAAACGATTCTCCTGCCTCAGCCTCCCGAATAGCTGGGACTATAGGCATGCGCCACCACACTTGGCAATTTTTTTAATTTTTAGTAGAGATGGGGTTTCACCATGTTGGCCAGGCCACTTGAACTCCTGACCGCAAGTGATCCACCAGCCTTGACCTCCCAAAGTGCTGGGATTATAGGTGTGAGCCACCATGCCTGGCCTTATTTATGATTAAAATAGATAATGCTGAGAAACACTTCGGAATGGTAGTGCAAGGACCTCTGAAAATCCTGTCTCCATAAAAGCAACAAGAAAATTAACCAAAGGCTTACAATAATACCAGGAGCATTTATTCAAGTAAAATGGTTAAATCTTGGTAAGGACAATGAGCCTTGTGGAGTTTTCTGTTTATCTGTTACTGCTTTGATTACACACTGGGTCTTTGATGTCTCCACTCTTAAGCCTAGCGTTGTTGTTGTTTTTTTTTTTTTTTTTTTGCATAGGCCTTAGGCTATGGGCCTCTTACCTCTAAAATGATATTATCTCACAACGTCTTTGTTGGCAGGGATGTCTGGCCTATTAGATGGTACTGTCACCATGCCTCGGACTTGTCCACAGGCTCACAGAAATGACTGAGATTTACAACAGAGAACTAAACCCAAAAATACAAATAAAGCTTCAAAGTCAACATGAATGAGGATTTAACTAAATATCTGAAAAATATAACATCATAGTTCCACTCATTCAGTCACTAAATTTAGGGCTTTTGGAACTTCATTACATTAGCAAATTATCTGTGGATTAATTGTTGTTCACTTTGAAAAAATTCCTGAGTATCTAGATGATCTCCAAGCAATGATTGTTAATCTTAAATTAAATGAGTTACTGAGACCAACAAAAAATTTTCGAAGTATGATTATAAAATTTTACTTAAGGTAGGCCATGGATATATTCTTGGCTTTGATGTGATGTAGGCCCCAGAAGTCAGAGTTGTAGGACTCAGGGAAAGCTTACAATGGCCTTGGCTGTGAGGAACAAATTACATAGGTAATAATCACATTACAAATTACATTACATATGTGTAATGTAATGTGTACATTACATATGTAATAATCACATTACAAATGTGATTATTGCATTGTGGAAAAATCCATTGACTACTCTGAAGAATCTACAGAAGACATGCCATCGCCTCAAAAGACCATCAGCCAGGAGCCCCTGAGCCACACTACACCTGTGGTTCCCAAATCCACCCGATCATCCAAGTCACTGGGAAGAGTGTCAGAGCAGTGCCCGGGAATTGGTGCCTTAACCAGCACTCCAAGTGATTCTGACAACAGGCCAGGTTTGGGGACCACTGGACTTGACCCAAAGGTCTTCCCATCGCCTCTCATCTCATTTCATTTCATTTTGTTCTTGGTTTGCCCTTTTGGACAAGAACCGCTGATCACTCTCATCTTGACCACGAGTCTTCATGACCCTGACTGCTGCCAAGTCTTTCTTATCCAAGCAGGAGAAGCCCAATGGCATTCAGAACACAGTCAAACACAGCTGCTTCTGCCTTTTCCTTCCCAAACCTCTCCTCCTGGAAGGAAGGAACCCATAATAGCTTCCTTCCCAAACTCTCTTCCCCTGTCCTCTCCTCTGTCCATCACCCTTACATGCCTTCTCACTCTCAGATGCTGGCTGGGGGGTTTCTTCTCTTCCCTGCTCTTTTGTTCCGAGTCACACTGTGTGCAAAATGTTTTCTATTCTGGTTTTGCAATAACAGGCAGCAGCAGAGATTTCAGAGTTAGCAGTGCTATTACTGCTGGAGGCCAAGAGGCTGGAGAGAGGAAATAAATAGTGTTATATCCTCCTGAGGCCACCAGCAGAGCCAGTTGTGGTGGTGAGGGGAGGAAGGGAGGGAAGTGAGAGATTCACCTTTGCTTTTCTGGGCACTTTACCTTTCCTTGGGCAGGAAGTCCATTGAACCGACAGGATGATGGGGCCAGGTGGGACCTGACTCTACACTAATCCGGGCTGGAGGCTGCAAGGAAGTTCTCTGCCGGAAATGTGATGCTTTAGTAATTTTAGCAAGAGTCTTATTTTGGCTGCAGAGGTTGAGGAGGCTGCTTTTCTTCCTTGGTGAGGGGAGCCCTTCCCCCCGTGAGGTTCATGTGCCTGGCGGATTTGTGCACAGAGAATGCTGATGGAATTCAGCTTTTACCAGTGAGTCATTGGGTACCTCAAGCACTGCAGACTTAATCATTTTTAATGGAACAGGCTAATTATAGAGAGATAATTAAAATGAAGATGAATTTTCTTGTTGCATGAGATATCCGCCATGCTCAGGTTTTGCCTGAGAGCAGCAGCAGTGGTTTACTGCAGCGTGGCTCAGTGTGCGGCCAGTGATCATTTACATCAGAATCACCTGGGGCCCATTGTTAAAAATGCAGATTCCTGGACCCAGATGCAGGTAAGCAGAATGTCTGGGGTGGGAGGCCCAGGCATCTGCGTGTTTAACTAGATTCACAGGTGATTCTCTTTTTTTTTTTTTTTTTTTTTTTTTTTTTTTGAGACAGAGTCTCGCTGTGTCACCCGGCCTGGAGTACAGTGGCACAATCTTGGCTCATTGCAACTCCACCTCCTGGGTTCCAGTGATTCTTGCGTTTCAGCCTCTGAAGTAGCTGGAATTACAGGTGTGTGCCACCACACCTGGCTAATTTTTGTATTTTTTAGTAGAGACGGGGTTTCACCATGTTGGCCAGGCTGGTCTCGAACTCCTGGCCTCAAGTGATCCCCCTGCCTCAGCCTTCCAAAGTGCTAGGATTACAGGCATGAGCCACAGAACCCGGCCAAGACTCTCAGGTGATTCTTAGAACACCAACGTTTAACAATCATTGAGTGAGAAAAGATGTGCCTGAGGTCATATGGCATTATCAGAACCAACCTCTGGCCCTCTTGACCTGTCTAGCATTCTTTCCTTCTGACTTATAGGATGACTAATTCAGTCTAAATCAGCTGCCCTCAGATTCTTGAGAACTTAAAATTGAGCAGAAATTCCCAAGGCCAACCTGGCTGTCAGCGACCGACCTGCAGAACTCAAGATTGAGTGAAATATTTAGGTCAGTTGAGTTTTGCAAAATGAGTGGTAGAGGAAAACAGATCAAGCCTGTAATTTAAAACTAGGGTTCAAAAGCCCTAGTGGGAGATGTAGTATTGTCCTAGCATTTAAATTCTCATGAAATGGGCTTGGTCTGTGATCTCTTGGTCAGACATCTGCCTTCCAGGCGATCCTTTGAGGTTGTATAATTCAGCTGGCCCTGGCTCCTGGTCCCTGTTACTGAGCTGGGAAGTCGAACTGAAGGGCAGATGAACTCAAGATCATACCTTGGGAAGCATGGTGCTTTAGGGGTGCCTTTTTATTCCTTTCATTGTATTATAGACTGTTTCCAAGTTTATGGTTAGAAATGGTAAAGTGGGTCTGGTGTTTTGAGGTAGAATCCAGCCTGAGGCAAGATATGAACTGTTCTTGAGGTAGAAATGTCTACAATCAGTTGTTTCATCTAGCTTGCAACTTAAAACACAAACCCTTCAGTTGCTTTCACTTAATGAACACATTTGCCAATGACAGAGGGTTATACAGGATCCCTCTTTTACATTTCTATTGTCTGCTACACTCATCAGAGTATATTTTGGGGTATGAGGTTTTGGGTTTTTTCCCCCCGTTTTGTAACTGCCTTATTGAAAAGTAAGTGCCCTTCCATTCCAGGCCTCTTCACGTTGTACTTGTTTCCTACCAAATCTGGGGGATCATTTGTGTTTTAACTTTGTAATCTATGGCTCTGTACTGCTGAAAGGCTCTCAATTCTATGGGGTCTCCTTAGTATGTATGTGACTGTTCCTGTTGCAATATCACACAGATGGGATAGCCCGACTTTTGCTCTTAATAAATAATCTGAATGAGTAAGAAGAAAAAAAAAAAAGAATCATTGAGTGGGAACCTATTTTGTGCTGGAGATTTCATCTGACTACCAAAAAAATCTTCATAGCAATTTATAAAGTAGATGTTATTCCCTCCATTTTGAAACTGAAGCCTAGAGAAGCTGAATGACATTACTAAAGTCACACAGCTAGTCGACGGCAAAGCTAGGATTCCAGGCCCATCTAATTGGAAGGCCTGCATTCTTTCCATGTGACCTCCACAGATGCCTCCTGTCTGCCAGGTCACTGGGGCAGCCCTGAGCCAGTCAGGGAAGGCTCCTGGTATAGGCCCTAACTGTGGGAAACCAATGGCAGTTGTGAGCTCTTTTCTCCAACAATTATGGATTCATTCTCCTCTTGACTGTGGAGGGCTCACAGCTCCCCAGAGTTCATGCTCTCAACTCTACAGAGCTCTCCAGCCAATGCTGGACACCTATCTTTTCGGAAACTGATGATCAGAAGCAAAGCGTGGCAGATGCTGTTGGGGACCCAGTGATTTGCTCCCTCTGCATTGGGGTGCTGTGTGCTTCAGGGAGGGACTGGGCCCTCACTATCCCTAAGTGTGTCAATCCTGATTTGCTCAATTATCCTGGGATTCTAGTCCACTCGCCAATGAGGCAGCAGTGGGTAACTGAGCCACTTCCTGTCAATGAGAGGTGAAAGTCTATTGGGAGGTTTCTGAGAGGCATTCCTTCCTTGTCAAGAGTGATCCAAGTTGTTCTACTGCAAGACCTGGGCTGATGTATCACACAGCTCTAGGGGAAACCAGTATATTGGATTCTATGGGAACAGAGACCCTTGGAGTTGGGCAATGTGGCCTTGCACAAAAGGGGGTTTGACCTGCACATACTGAAATGTGTACCACTTGGAATTTCCAATCTCACATTTACTTGTGAACATTGGTTAAATAAAGATTTTTTTAAAATTATACTTTAAATTCTGGGATACACGTGTAGAATGTGCAAGTTTGTTACATAGGTATACATGTGCCATGGTGGTTTGCTGCACCCATCAACCCGTAACCTCCATTAGGTATTTCTCCTAATGCTATCCCTCCCCTACGCTCCCACCGCCCAACAGGGCCCTGGCGTGTGATGTTCCCCTCCCTGTGTCCACGTGTTCTCATTGTTCAGCTCCCACTTATGAGTGAGAACACGCAGTGTTTGGTTTTCTGTTCTTGTGTTAGTTTGCTGAGAATGATGGTTTCCAGCTTCATCCA